AGCATCTACAGGAGAAAATTGGAAAGAGTTACAACCAATGGTGATCTCGCTTCTAGCTTCAACGTCGTGTTATTGCTATTCAGCTTAAGGTATATCTCTTTGATGTTTTAGCGAATATACATGAGATACATTGTCTTTTTTTTTTTTTGTATATATATATATTTTTTAAAATAATAATTAGTTAACTGTTTGATGTTTGATTTTAGGTGGAAAGAAATAGTGATGAGACTTATGCTGAGATCACTTTGATGCCAAATACAACTGTGAGCAAAATTTTTAGAATTTCTCTTCTATTTTTTAGTCAATTCTATTTTTTCTCCTATTATATCTCACTGATTTTCTATTTTTTTTTTAATGTTTAGCAAGTTGTAATCCCTACTCAGAATGAAAATCAATTTAGGCCATTAGTTAATTCCTTTACAAAGGTTTTAACGGCCTCAGACACAAGTGCCCATGGTGGATTCTCTGTTCCGAGAAAACTTGCCATTGAATGTCTCCCTCCGCTGGTATTTAATGTTTAGTTTTTTTTTATGAAACGAATTCTAATTTTAAGCTTTCATTAGACATTTACATATTAAATTTTGCTTTAGGATATGTCTCAGCCTTTACCGGCACAAGAACTTCTTACTATAGATCTCCATGGTAATCAATGGAGATTCAAACACAGCTATAGAGGTATAAATCTTTTTATTCATATAAATATAAGAACATTGTGACTAGTAACCAATAATCTTCTTATTCCATGCAGGTACACCGCGAAGACATTTGTTAACAACAGGTTGGAATGCATTCATAACATCAAAAAAATTGGTTGCAGGGGATGTTATTGTATTCCTTAGGTATAATATTGTTTCTTTTTATATATCTTTTTGTTCTTGAGTTTTGGACTTTAAACTCTTTACTTGTGGTTCCAGGGGAGAGACTGGAGAGTTACGAGTTAGTATCAGACGAGCGAGATATCAACAAGGGAACATACCTTCATCACTAATATCAATAGAAAGTATGAGACATGGGGTAATTGCTTCTGCAAAGCATGCTTTTGATAACCAATGTATGTTCATTGTGGTTTACAAGCCAAGGTAATTCAAAGAACCATTTGAACTCACATTTATGGTTCTATTGATTTATCAATAGATTAGTTTCTTCAACATGTAGGTTTATATTTTGTGTCTGTATAAGTATCAGGTCAAGTCAATTTATTGTCAATTACGATAAATTCTTAGACGCCGTAAACAATAAGTTCAATGTCGGGTCAAGATTTACAATGCGGTTTGAGGAAGAAAATTTCTCTGAAAGAAGGTAACATTAGATCAAAACTTTTATTTCTTCTTAAATATATCTCAAATATCTAATATTATCTATGATAACACATTTTGTTGAATTAATTAAGATATTTTGGGACAATTATTGGAGTTAGTGATTTCTCTCCTCATTGGAAATGTTCAGAATGGCGTAGCTTAAAAGTAAAATTCATTTCACACTTTATAAAATTCTTTTAAAATTACGTTTTTGAGTGCAATAAATAACATATCACTAAGTAACTCTGATTTTGCAGGTGCAGTGGGATGAATTTGCATCATTTCCGAGACCTGATAAAGTTTCCCCATGGGAAATAAAACATTCAACGCCTTCGTCAAATGTTCTCCCGTCATCTATGCTTAAGAACAAACGTTCACGAGAATTTAATGAAATCGGTATAAAAAGAGTCTCTTATAATCTTTATTTAAGTAATTAATATTCTATTTAATGAATTAAAGATTCTATATGAATACCTTCTCATTATACCTGTTATATATAGGTTCTTCATCATCACACCTCTTGCCTCCTATATTGACACAAGGACAAGAAATTGGACAACCAAGCATGACCTCCCCAATGAATGTTCCTCTTAGTTACCGTGATGCAATTGAAGATGATTCGACTCCTTCTAGGTTGCTAATGAGCTACTCTGTCCAGACAATGCCCCGACTAAATTACAATAACGATCAAATAGTTACACCAATAGAAGGAAATATAACAAACAATGGAGGCGCTAGTTGTAGAGTGTTTGGAGTCTCTCTTGCCACTCCTCCAGTGATCAAAGATCCCATTGAACAAATTGACTCAGATCCAAACTTAGAGATTTCTAAACTTTCTCAAGAGAAAATTTTTGGTCTAGGCCAAATGAGATCAACAAGAGAGATCCAAAGCAAGCAGTTGAGTTCTACCAGAACCTGTACCAAAGTAAGTATAAGATCAATATATTCTACTCTTTATATATGAATCATTTTCTCATTTTACTCAACTCATGCCATCTTGATATGGAACAGGTTCAAATGCATGGTGTAACACTAGGAAGAGCTCTGGATTTAAGTGTTCTTAACGGATATGATCAGCTGATACTGGAATTAGAGAAACTCTTTGATCTCAAAGGCCAGTTGCAAAACCGCAACCAATGGGAAATAGTTTTCACAGACAATGAAGAAGATGAGATGCTTGTTGGAGACGATCCATGGCCGTAAGTTTCCTTTCTCTTTCTATCTATTGAAAAATTAGTTAGAATCTTGAGCAATATTCATATTTCATTTTTGGTGTTCTTTGCATGTAGTGAATTCTGCAACATGGTGAAGAAGATAATCATATATTCAAAAGAGGAGGTCAAAAACTTTAAGTCCGGAAACAGTCGCTCAAATTGAATCAATAATCAAAACATATGTAAAAAAAGGGGTATAAAATGTTACTGCTATCTTGGTGTCTTGTTTTGTTTCTTTCTCTTATTTGTTGTTGCATCCGTTTGTATTATGTACTTCTATTCCATCGTCCATAAATAAAATAAAATCCCCTTGTTGTCGTGATATTGAGCTTTCTTTCTTATTCCTACAATCACTTACCACATCTACATTCTAAAGATTTGAGTGTAGTATTTCTTTTTTGATATTTTGAAAAAAAAATTTTGTAACGCTAAGTTTATAGTCATTCAATAAATTAAAAATTTTATTCTACCTATTCTAGTACTTATAAAACCAGATATTTTGAAGACAAACAAAAAAAAAACTGTAAAATATGGTTATATTTTTAATAACAATTTTTTTAATCGATCACTACAATGATAGAAAACTAGGGAAGTCGGCCAATTTATATTCCAATAAAACTACTAAGTCGAAATCATACACAAAATTAGGTACTTTGTCAATGTATACTTCAACTATATATCATGATTGGAGGAATTCATAAACAAGGGTAGAGGCAAAAAAGATATAAAAAGTTATCATAGATCGGGGCGTAACGGCATCACGAGTATTCAGATTTTTAGTGAATAGTTTTTCCTTCATTTCACATGCATGAATTGTATTAAGATAGTAAATAATGTAGAGTTTTGTTTTTGGTAGATTAAGGAATAAGATACTACTATGTGATTTTTGCACACAAAAAAGGAATACTATGTGATTTGGAAATTTAAAATGTAACTTATATAATAAATTGGGAATATAAGCAATGTTATGGTGATTACTAAGAACAAAATCGATAATGTCACGAGGAAGGAAGGAAGAGAAAAGGAGGGAGGACCAATTTGTATATTTCTAACTTAAAATAATAAACTTTTTGGCAAACCAAAATTAATATGAATAATTACTCTTGTAAAATAATATTGTTTGCATAGATGTTACATATTTGTTTCACAAACGTTCTAGTTTATATATGCAAGAATACTACACAAAAAAAGAAATCTATTGTCGAATGCATAGTATGATTTATTGCATTCGAATAATGACAAATAATATCATATTCAAATACGACTTGATATATTTTGTCTTGTTTGTGCATAAAGTATAAAACACACTTGAACATATCGATAATTGTAGGCATAATTAGTTATGTACTATAAGAAAAAACATCTTTTTAACGCTCGTGGATGTGGCAAAAGATTCTTAAGATGAGAGACACGGCTAAGGAATTTCACAAGGTGGAAATCAAAAGTGGCAAGAACACTTCCTTTTGGTATGATATGATCAAGGATCCTCCATGGGAAGTGATAATATGGGATTTTCGCCCATATTTGCTATTGTTTTAGGAAGCATTTGGAATGATTTCAGAGCTAAGAGGGATTTATTCAAGTATTTATGGAGCCAAGAAGGTTTTAAGAGTTTTTGAGCTTTAAAGACCAAAAGGCGACCGAAACCCGTTTCAAGACAGTTTCTGTACGTCAGAAGTATGGCATCCGTTCGAGGTGTTACATGTTACTAAATCAAGAGATATCGGTGGCTGTGGAAAGCTAGAAGAGTCAAGATTCGTCTCGAAGTGGAATCAGATCTTTTCATTGAGCCGTTCAGAAGTTATGACCAGAAGAGTGAAGATATGTCCAGACCGGCCAGAAGCTATGCGACCGTTCCGGAGCTTCTAGACCGCACCGGTCACAAGGGCTGAGCCCGGGCTGCCTCCGACTCTCCACCCCGGTCACTAATGCCTCTACCCTGTCCAGAGACGCGAGTTACACTTGACCTAATCTATGGGAAAAGATGCTTTTACCCCTAGACCTAACCCTTGGTTCCCGAAACCTATACATACATGTTGAAAGCCCTAAACCTAGTGTGCCTTCGCCGAGCTTCAACCGTGCCTCTCAAGCCCTCTCTGCCCTTTCCGTGAGCTGCAGCCGTCATCCATTGAAGCTTTGAAGAATCACCAAATCCCTCTACCTTTTCTCTTGTTTTCTCTAAAGATCTATTAAGGTGAAGTCTTACCTCTTGTATTTTACATTCAAAGAAGTAATCTCTAAACCCTATTCAGTTCTTATTCTTTTCTTTCTCATGAGTTTATCAAACCTTACTTTGATGATCTCTTTAACCCTGGTAGAGTAGTTTTATAGTTGGGTTTGAAGGGTTAATCAAAAGGGGGACATGATCGATCATTTAAGTGGCGATACTTAGGGTTTTGTTTGATCGTTTACACTGTATTCTTTCTAATTAAGTTGTTTCTTAATGCATTAGATTCATGTCCTAACTCGGGATCCCAAGTATTTAAATTGCTCACAAGGTTGTTTAATACGCTAGACCTAGCTTACGAATGTGTATCGTGTTATAACAAGCACACAACACTTAGTAATAGGGCTTTATGGACTAGAATCGAACTTGATCTTATTGCTTTAATATATACATCGTTGCCTGCGTTAGTTGAGTAACGGAGTATAAGGATTTTAGCCAACTAATTCTATAACATAGGGTTAGCCGAATCTTAGTGTTTCGTATGTCCGAGACTTGGAAGTAAACAAACCTAACTCTAGTATTTCTTAGATAGCGATCATTGAACCCCTGCGATACCCTTGATGCCCAACGTTTGTCTCCTATTGATTTCTTACGTTTATCTTACTCGCTTTCTTTACTCGCTTTCTTATTTACTTTTATTTGCAAACCGTGACACCACAACCAACCCCTCTTTATTGTTTTGTCCTAGCTTCGCTTTGTCTAACGACTTGTCCGAACTACTTCTCTCTTTGTGGTTTCGATACCCTAAGTACTACAATTGACTGCTGTGCACTTGCAGCTTATTGATCGTGTTATTTGGGATTTTCAAAACCTGATATACGCATCCCGAACGCTATCAGAAAGATTGTTTGATATACTCGGTGATAGAGGATGCATCGACCTCGGGATTACTAAGAGTATGATGATTAAAGATGTGTGATATATCACGGATTTTACTAATTTTAGCCGTGATATATGTATTGTTTTTAGAGTCTTTTTGTTGTTCTAGTGTCTTTTTGAGTATATTCAAGTTTTTACACGTTCGGGACTAATTTGGAGATTATGGATCATTTTGGAGCAAAACCGAGAAGTTATATTGCGCAAGCAATCCGGAGACGAAAATACGTGCAAGTGTCGATCGACACCACCCCTGGGGTCGGTCGACACCAAGATCTGACGGCAATTCAATTTCGCGAGTTTTTGAAGTTATGAAGATTTGCAAATTCGCCCCAGAACTTTTCCCTATTTTCAAATAAGTCCCTGCAGATTCGCCCCAGATACCATTATTCGCCTACACCTTTGAAGCTAAAAAAAAAAGAAAAAAAATGTTTTGAAAAAGAATAAGTCTGGGGGAGAGAAAGAGTACTTAAATATGTTCTAATAGTTGATTTATCATGGTATAGTACGGGAATGAGTCTAGAAGGTTCTTGAGTACCGATTTTGTTGATGAGATTTATGCGATGAGGGCTATAGGATATAGTTGTGGAATTTGGTTTGGAATTTAGGATGTTGAGAATGCTTGCGGAGAATTACATGGTGGTTAGGATTTGATGCGATCTGCTAGGCATTTGGATTTGGTTTAAATGATCAAGGTAATAGGTTAGAGAAATTGGGAGTTTCTATGTTTTCAAACTTCTTCCACGGGTTCGGTTTTTGTGTTTTTTTTTTTTTTTTTGGAAGAATGTAAAATTTATTCAATCAAAAAACCAGTGTTACAACAAGTGCATCAGTTTTGAGTTTTATAGAAATACTCTGTTTTAAATTACAAGCTTAAGTTTGAGTAGAAAACCAAAACATGAGAAGGTCTGCATACTTGTGGTTCCCCGAGCTGCGAAGAAGTGTGATCTTGTTCCGAATTGTTTTCCCTATCATTTGGCTAAGGCGAGGGGCTGGAATGTGAGCTTCCCCATGCCTGCGGTTGTTCCGTTCTCTCCAAATGGAGTGGACAGCAACTTGAAGAGAATACCGTAGAAGCAGCAGAGTGTGTTTGCCGAGAGTTGAGCTTGAAACAAGTGACTTGATCTGGTCCCATTGAGAGGTGTAATGAATCCCTAGGAGACCCTTTGTTGTTTGTTCCAAATCTGATGAGAGTAGCTACAGCTGAAAAAGATGTGGTTTCTAGTCTCCACCAGTTTTTGTGTTTTGCTTGAGGGCAAGCAAAAACTAAGTCTGGGGGAGTTGATATATCACGGATTTTACCGATTTTAGCCGTGATATGTGTATTGTTTTTAGAGTCTTTTTGTTGTTCTAGTGTCTTTTTGAGTCTTTTCAGGTTTTTACACGTTCAGGACTAATTTGGAGATTATGGATCATTCTGGTGCAAAATCGAGAAGTTATGCATGCACGAGCAATCCGGAGACAAAAATACATGCAAGTGTCGATCAACACCACCCCTGGTGTCGGTCGACACCAAGATCTGACGGCAATTCAATTTCGCGAGTTTTCGAAGTTATGAAGATTTGCAGATTTGGCCCAGAACTTTTCCCTATTTTCAAATAAGTCCCTGCACGTTTTTAGGAGTTATATATATATATATATATATATATATATATATATATATATATATATATATATAAGGTCATTGTTTAGACCTAAGCTTGGAGAGGCTATTCTCCTTTTCTATTTTGTATTTGGGAGCAAAACCCTGTGGAGACTCCCTTTGGAGAAGATCTTTCTAAACCCTATTTTTGTTATATTCATTATTGATTTCTACCTCAATCATGTTGTTTGCTTCAATCTCCATGTTTGAGTAGTTTTCTTGTTAGGTTTAGGGATTCTCAATAGGGATTTAGATGAATTAGTAGATCGATAACCTGTTAGGATACATGTATAGAGTTCTTCACTTTTGATTGTTCTTAATGCTGATTCTAGAGTAATTAACTAGAATTTGATCTTAGGATAATAGGTAGATTCGAGAGGTCATCTATTACTGGAACTATCTTAGGTGGGCAGAAATTACTAGATACATTCGAGAGGTGGTCTAGGAATATCTGTGAACATATCAAACCTGGTATTAATGCTAGACTAATTCTAAGAGTTCACATTCGAGAGGTGGAAGTCCCTGATATTAGGTCTAATTAGTCAATTCATTCGAGAGGTGGTTGACTATAAATTAGTGATTTGAGTTCTAGAACGGTTTGTTAATAATCTTAATTAATTTGCTAGATCTACTATTTATTTATTTCTTGAGAAATCCCTAAGCCTGACGTTTTTCTCATCTGCTTTACAACCGATTTTAATTGCTTTTTTTTGTCTTTTAATTTACTTAATTTCCTGTTTAGCTTAATTCAAACCCTGTTAGTCTATTGTG